TTTTTTCCCTTTTTCTCCCCAAAGCCCCAGTGGATAGTTGTATGTCGTAGTTGCACATCCTGCTAGTTGCTGTATGTGGGACGCTGCCTCAGCATGGCCAGACAAGCGGTGCGTCTGTGCGCGCCCGGATCCAAACCCGGGCTGCCAGTAGCGGAGCGCGCACGCTTAACCCCTAAGCCACGGGGCCGGCCCCCTAAGCTTTCGTTTGACCTAAATCAAATACACAGTTTCAGAACGAGGAATGACCACGCCTTGTGATAATAGTGACAGGTGTTATTTATTAAGCATCTACTATATACCAGGCTCTCTGTTTACACATATCCTCACTCATCTACAGGGTCGTGTTTTGATCCACTTTGTAAAGAAACAGACACTGAGGCTCAGGTTACAGACAGAGATGCTAAAATGAATCAGTTGTGTGTTCGGGGAGATGAGCTCTGCCCCTTACATGCTGTGTGCCCTCGGCCAGCCCCATTCCTCCCTGAGCCTCATCCGGTAAATGGAACCACACACCGGGGCCTCGCTCACAGGGCTGGTGGGAGGACTAAGGAGTTGAGGGGCCTGGAGGGATCAGCCCAGCTTCAGGCTCCCGAAATGTTCTCCATAGTTAGTGACTGATCACAGTCCCTCTAGGGGCATTGGGGCTGCTGGTGTTTTTCTGACGACTTATTCAAGTGACACCTCCTTACTCTGTCCTCAAAATGTTTGATGAGCTTTAGGAAGCAAGTTAAATATTTACAAACACAAATATTTGTAATATTTGCTGTCTGCCAACGGTTACAGAAGGCGTTGTGTAATAATTAACAATTTGGAGATACCCTATAGGACCCTTCTACAGGGAAAAACTGCTCTCACTTTTGATTCACTTTATGTTTTCAGGACACGGGAGGTGCTTCTGCCTACTTCATAGGCCTCTGTCCGTGTGTCTGCTGATTTAATAATGATTAAGAAATTAACCACCTAAATTCTCAGCATCAGTGATCTTTGCTTTCAACCAAAACTGACCCAAAAGAAGAACCCAGATTCAGAAAAACATCCTTTTGCCCCCTCCCTTGCAAATTCAGGAATGGCACAGATTAGACTCTACTGGAATATTAGTGGAAAGAAAGAAAACTATGGAGTAAATTCATAAATACCTGCAGGGAGAGCTGTGGATATAAATTAAGTCTGGGTTAAAGACAGATCTGTGTTTGTTTATTTCTGTGAAGCATCTTCTGTTTTATTCAAAGCAAAAATGCTTCCATTGCCTGATTTAGCCCTCACTGCAACCCCAGGAAGGAGGGATGCCTGCTGCCCCATTTCACAGATGAGGAACTTGGATGTGCCACAGCCACACCTCTCGTCAGCTGGCCAGCCTGGCTCCAGCTTTCCTGGTGGTCCCGCTATGCCACTGCTCCCCTGCCTTTACCTCTGTAAACGCTTTCTCTGAAGTTGGTAGGGTTTCCAGAGGTGGCCAGCTAGGAACACTTAATACAGACTGAGACCCATCAGTAATTTTGTTCCTGTGCCCAGACTGCTGGGAAATCACCTGGCAGAGCAAAGAAGGTGGACTTTGAACTCAGGCCTGGAGTTGCGTGTCTGCCCTGCACCTTCCTCAGAGTTCACTTCTGGGAACCTGTGTGTCCTCCTCTGTAAGATGAGGATGATGACCCGCCCTCCCAGCACAGTTAGAAGGATTAAAAATAATGTATGTGAATGTTCTTAACGGTGTCACACACTTATGGTCAGTGATGACAGTCAGAGTCACGTTTATTGTTTATAAATGCTCCTTTTGTAGCCAAACCCTCTCCCCCCGTGGTATCAGGCCCCACGGCGAGGGCCCCGCCTGAGCAGACAGTGAGCTTCACCTGCGAGTCCCACGGCTTCTCCCCCAGAAACATCACCCTGAAGTGGTTCAAAAATGGGAATGAGCTCTCAGCCTCCCAGACCAACGTGGACCCAGAAGGAGACGGCGTTTCCTACAGCGTCTCCAGCACAGCCAAGGTGGTGCTGGCCCCGGGGGATGTTCACTCCCAGGTCATCTGCGAGGTGGCCCACGTCACCCTGCAGGGGGGCCCTCCTCTTCGTGGGACGGCCAACATCTCTGAGACCCTCCGAGGTAGACGCCCCTCACCCCAGCCCAAGCCCTGACCTGCCCCCAAGCCCCCAAGCCCGCTTCTCCCCCTGCTGTTTGCTCCAGGCCTGGATTTCCTGGAATCTAATTCCTGACCATCCTTCCCAATCACCAGGCACCTGGATGTGCTGTTCACTCACTCCTGTTCTAATGGCAGCTGCCAGGTGAACACCTGCCATGTGCCGAGCTCTGTGCTAGGTCACGTCGTCTACTTTACCAATAGCAGCTCCAATTACTGAGCACCTACTCTAAGCCCAGCCCCTACCTGCTTGGTGATTTCATTTATTTTGCTACAGTTATTATGCTCCCGCTGTATCCCAGGGGCTGTGCTTGTAGATTTCACTCATTATGACCCTAACAGGAGCTACCAGTCCCTGAGCACCTACTGTGTGCCTGGCACTGTGCTTAGTGATGCACCCTCAGTGTTTGAGTGCCTGCTGCATGCCTAGCATTGTCCTGGGTGATTCCCATCTGTGGTGCTGGGAGCTAAGGTATGGAGCCCTCCTCTGTGATCTGTCTGTTCCAAAGGTCAGAGCCTCTGCCCTGTCCTGTTTCAGTTCCGCCCACCTTGGAGGTTTCCCAACACCCCACGGCAGGGAACCTGGTGAACATCACCTGCCAGGTGAACAAGTTTTACCCCCGGCACCTAAAGCTGACCTGGTTGGAGAACGGAAACGTGTCCCGAACAGAAATGGCCTCGACACTCATAGAGAACAAGGATGGGACCTTTAACTGGACGAGCTGGCTCCTGGTGAACTCATCTGCCCACAGGGAGGATGTGGTGCTCACCTGCCAGGTGGAGCATGACGGGCAGCCGGCGGTCACCAAACACCATACCCTGGAGGCCTCTGCCCACCAGAAGGAGCAGGACACAGGTGGAACCCCTGGTGAGGCCTCCACTCCTACTGACCTGGCTCTTTTTAAATTTTATCTTTTTTGGAATGTTAAAAGTAGTAATTTATGTTTATTATAGAATAATCCGGAAGTCTATGAATATAAAGTAGAATTTTAAAGTAAGCTCCCCTCCCACAAATTACATACTCAAAGAGTCACCACTGGTAAGAGTTTGGTACATATCTTTATAGATCTGTTGACATAAATATACATTAAAGAAAGAAGAAGGGAAGGAGGGAGCTCATCCTGTTCATACCATCCTGCCTCTTGCTTTCTCCACCTAACAATGATTATGTCACCACCCACGTCAGCCCACCCCCCTCCTCCTTGCTCTCTCTAACCTCTGCCTAGCCCCGCTGGCCGGCATTGCAAGCTTGTCACTCTAGGAATGGGGGCGGGGGCTTCAGGACGTTTGTGGCTTATCTCAGGTGTAATCTCTGCTGCAGTAAACGTCCTTGAGCACCTTCCGTTCCATGTGCAGCTGTTTCTGTGCAACAGTTTCCCAGAGAGCATTTCTAGGCCAAGTGCATGCCCATTAAGACCATGATAACACTGCCACTCTCCTGGGAGAGTAAAGGGTGTTGGGGTACCATTTTCTCAGCCCCCTTCCAACCTGTTGTTGATGTGTCCCTCTTCTTTCTTCAAAATGGCAGTATGTAGTTGGTGTTTCGGTGCCACTGTGGAATGTTCCAGCACCTGTTATTAGCATGGCTATGCCTTGTACATAGCAGACTCTTTGAATGGGTTGGAATAGAGACCATTTTTTTCCTTCATGCATCCTTCAAGGGAATGGGGAGCTCTAAAGAAGCCTTGGGGCCCTGTCAGGGTGTCTCTTTCATGTCACCGAAGCCTGGTTTTCATAGGATGAGTACTGCACTGGGAGAGAGGCTGTGAGGATTTCCACGCTGGCTCTGTCACAGACTTGCTGGGTGGCCTTGGATAAGTCGTTGCCCCTCTCTGGGCCTCTGCTTGCTCATGGCAGTGTCAAATGAGATGAGCCTTGTGACTCCTCAGCTTTGAGTCTCAGCTGCTAGAGACCATGACTGTCATGCTCAGCACCATAGCTTCAGGACCTGGCACAGCCTGGCACATAGTAGACGCTCAAGAAATACTTTTAGAAAGGGTAAAAGAGTGAGTTGGTTGATTGGTTAGTTACTGAGTTAATCCTCAGAGCTCTCCAATGAGGTAGAGATGATTATTGGCTCAGTAACACGAGAGGAAGCCGGTGTGTGGAGGGAGGATTAAATGACTTGCTCAAGGTCACACAACCAGGGGCATTGATTTGAACCCATGTGTCTGTGGCTCAGAACCCTGCTCCTGACTACCCAGCATGCTCTAGTATAGGATCCTCTGCCGGTGCCCTGGGGCCAGCCAAGTCCCTGTCTCCATTTCAAGTGTGTGGGTTCAGAGCTCGTATGCTGATGCGTAAGCGGCCCAGGTCCCAGGCACAGGTCAGTGGACAGCCCCTGCGAGCCCTGCAGAGTCCTGTAGCCAGCTGCACGTCTGCCATTCCTCGCTGTCCCTTCCCCACAGCTGCTGTGGGACATCCCAGTAGCGATTCAGAGTTTTGGATGGACCTGTGCTGCCGTGGTGGCTGCTCTGTGGTTCACTGAGATGAGGAGGAACATGTTTCCATTCTTTGGGAGTGAGATTTCTGCCCACATCCTGTAACTGGGCTTCCTCCATAGCTGTCAGCAACAAGCATTTTCCCTCCTGGCCCCTCAGCATGGTTTTACACTGCCTGTGGGTGACCCCCCTGCGGAAGTGTGTGCAGACCCATGACGTGCCCGTGTGGCTTGAAACGTCTGAGAAGGCCCAGCCAGGTGTTAGTGATGCCTGCCTAGTGGTGAAGAGGGGCGGTGGGTTTTAAATTTCACTGTTTTTAATTTGCGTCCATGAACCTTCTGTTCCCTCTGACCCCTAGAGAAGCCTCACAGTCTGAACGGTATCTTTATCGTGGTGGGCGTGGTGTGCGCCTTGCTGGTGGCCCTGCTGATCGCGGCCCTCTACCTCCTCCGAATCAGACAGAAGAAAGGTGGGTGGATTCCCCTCCTCCTCCCCAAGAGTTTGCCCCTGGGCTGTCCTTCCAGAGGGAGAGGCCGCAAGAGTGCTTTGGGCTACAC